AGATCCAACCAGTCTCACGAGTTGATAGCTGTAGCCTTGGCTAAACCAGCGGTGAGCCAATCTGGCATACCCAGGCCACCTTCGGGCAAGTGGTATACGTAGGCAAGGGAGGGCTATGCACTTCGGTGCTGACACTTGCCGTTTCACTCGCCAATCCTGTCCCTTCGGTAGGGATTGCCGTTATCGTAAACATTTCGGCGACCCCCAATCTAAGCCTTATTGGCAGAACGGTCAAGGTGGGGAGAAGGACAGTAGCTTCGGGTCTGATAAACGCCCTAGGACTGGGCAGGTGAAGGATGAACCATCAAGGAAGAACCCTAAGGACCAATAGCTGCGGCATTGGTTTGGTGCCAATCCAACACTGTTGAAGCTGAGTTTCCGGCACTTTCCGAAGTTTGATTATCACGTAGTCAAAACTGGTGGCTGCTGCGTTGCGTCAGTGCCGTTCCTAGTGGTCATAACATCATAAATGGAGCGGAGGAAACGTCGTTCTCGGAACGACTGTCGTTCAGTTTGGTTCCCACTCAACAAAGAGACTCTTCTTTGGGAAATGTTTACGATAACGGCAATCCCTACCGAAGGGACAGGATTGGCGAGTGAAACGGCAAGTGTCAGCACCGAAGTGCATAGCGCTCCCTTGCCTACGTATACCCTTGCCCGAAGGTGGCCTGGGTATGCCAGATTGGCTCACCGCCGGTTCAGCCAAGGCTACAGCTATCAACTCGTGAGACTGATTGGATCTTAAATAGGTACCGAGGGCAGAGTCGACTTGGAGAGAAGGGTCAGTGTCCCGCAGGCGGGTGGCCCCTTGTGGCAAGGCCAGCCTGTAACCCTTATCACACTCGACTGCTGCCTCGAACGATCGTGACCTCGCTAACCAGAGCAACCGGCTCAGATAAGCAACCGTGTCTTCCTCAGCTTCGAGAAGATCTCGACCACGACGACACCACCACCACCATAGTTTTTGTTGGCATCGACGACTTCGCTGGCAGTACCGGGACTTTTGGTGGATGAGCTGGCAGACTTCGCATCGGCTACCTCCGTCATAGTGGTTGTTTCGGGCTCTCCGTCGAGTCCCCCATATGCACACCTTCTCAATAGTTCGTCGGTCAGCTCCTTGTCCTCCAGGGCCGCCTCGAGCACACCCACAGTACTAATACCCATGTCGACACGAACAGTCGACGCTTTCTCAGCCAAGTCGGGGAAAAACTCGCGGAAGAGGTCGGGCGTGCTGGG